CGATAGAACAAGTTTCATATTGATTTGCGCTTTGGAAAAATGAACAACCTTTTTCGACTTTAGACTTCTAAATAAACTGCAATGTCAATCTACTGATGCTTCAGCTACCGCGTAAGTTTTCTTTAGAGATAGTTTTAGTGATTAGTTTAATAAAGTCTATACATGATAGCAATATAGTTACCGGTATGTAATTACGGTATAAAAACAAACTTCGTCAAATCCTAACTAGTTTTCTACGACACAGCAACTTAGTCATATGACGGTGATCCTCACACCAGATTCAGTTGTTCATGACTTAAAACTAAAGATTTATCGTTCCGACACGAATAAGGTGAGTGTAGTCAGTGTGTATTCATAGGAAGCTGAACCTACCATCCAGCGGTACTTGAATAAAATATGCATGTACTCTTTGTCAAAATAGGTGAAAGTGACGGTATTCAAATTACATGTTAATTTTTTTTTGAAATATCATAAATCCCATGACTTTTTCTTATCGATATTTGCGCAATTGAGTGAAATCTGGCTCGTAGATATGCCGATTTAACATTTGGGAAAAATCACTTCGACGGAAAAAATTGCCAATTTTTTTGACGTTAATATTTAAATTCCACTTTACCTTTTTAAAAGGTAACTCTACTTTTTTTTAAAGTTAAGTTTTAATCCTGGTAAAACTCGGATACAGGCACTCATTTTCGGTAAAAAAAAAGTTTTTAACTCGTACTCTGGCTGAAATATAACACCAGTTCATAAAAATAGCGTCAGTATTCATATCTTGGTGACTGTTCGCGACAGCGTTTCTCGGAGAAGTCATTTCGATCGTTTCCGTGATTCTAGAACGTTATTTTTTTAATTCTCATTGTGCATCGTACCTTATTGATGATATAATTGTGCTAAAAATATAACACAGTAACCCTTTTTTACTGTTATATAGGTCGGTAATTGGTATTTTCAGCACGGAAATTTTGGCTAAAAAAAATTGGTATTCTTAAATCACGTACTCTTTAATTTTTGACATCTTATTCACTGTTTTTGTTAAAGACTATTTTTAATTATATATAGAAATGTAGAAAATTCATATGATTATATCTTTTCAACTTGCAAATCGGATTTACCAAGGTACGGGGAAAATACAAAAAAAAATGGAATTCACAAACCTCATTTTTCAATTAATTAAAGATTTTCTGTAAACTCATTGTCCTCATTTCATGTTTTCATATACAAATGTGTAATATTTCCGAAAGTACCATTATCTATTAAATGTCAGAAAGCTAAAAATATCTGAAAAAATATAATATTCACGTAAATCGAATTACGCATTTTTGATTAATGGTTCGCCCTTTCCCGAATTTTATTCAAAATTGTTTACACGGTTCGATGTAACAGTATTCAAAAAAAAATTTAATTTTATTTTAAATCAAGTCATCATTAAGAAGGATTTTTTACGATTTAATGGAAAGAAAAGGTTCCGTTTTCGGATAATATTCGCCAACTTCGTTTCTTGCGAAGCTGTTTCCGGCGATGATGTGTTTTGAATGAGGTCATACCACTTAAAAATGTGGCTCATGAGTCCATCTATGATCGTAATATTGCACAAAGAAAAATGTCATATAGGCAAAAATAAAATTCAATGGCCTTGTTTTTACCAATTCGACATTTTTAGCTGCGGTCGTCAACTATTTCCCATCACTCATTCCTAAGTCTGCGAATTTTATATTTTTGTTTTTGAATTAATCGTCAAGTACATAACCACAGTTTAATACGGCCATACATGTACTACAGTCAAAATCGCAACACGAATTACGCGTTTCTTGTGTGGTTGTCTTATGGAACAATACACTTGCATGCTGAATTTTTTAACAATTTCCATACGTTGAAAATATATGTGTTAAAGTCGGCCAAGGTTTAAAAAAATGCTGATTGGTAGTTTTTTCCATGGTAATCTTTGTATATTATTTCCCACGAATTATGCTTGGAATGTAGATACTTTTTAAAAAAATTTGAATGAACTTCACTTTTCTTCATTGAATTGTCCTAATGAATTTGTTGAGATCAAGGCGGGTGCCAAGTATGAATCATGGATAAGGTCAATTATCAGTTCGATAATCAAATTTATTTTTAAATTGAAGTTTTTCCATCGCTTATCAGTTAATTTCAAAATGGAATGGAGTGAGAGAAACTATTTCTCTTTTTATAGCGTCTCATGCCTGCTTCGTTGATGTCATGTGTGTTACCAATGTGTTGTCAGTTATTTTAGTCGACGCATCATCGCTAGCTACTCTTGTTCGATGGTTCTCTTCTTTTTCTTACATGTCGAGAACGCCCGCTGAGCTGTTGTTCATCTAAAAATAGGGCGCGTACTCTATAAGGTTGCTTACTCATTTACCCCTTATCCGACGACAGACCGACCGCTCGCCCATCTGCTTTTTTGTTATTAATTTTCGATGAGTTGAGAGTGAATGGCTTCGCTATCTTTGTGAAATTATGCGGAATTTTTAGCACGGTATTTGTGGAATGGATATTAAATATAGCATCGCACAAATTTATTAGTTTTTGACTTAGACGTTCGATGAAATATGCGTCGTCGAGTGGTACAATACATGGAATGAATATCGGTATGGGTTTATGCTAGGCGCTAAAATAACAGTTGCAAGTTGAAGAAACGTAGGCCAATAACCTATCCTAACTAACTTAATATAAGCAGATGACAGAGAATAGTGTCTCGTTCTCAAATATATTTTTGGTAGCTTTTTTATGATGTCATTATTATTTTTTAGATGACTGATTGTAGTCCACTTACCCTTCCATTTCGATAGCGAAAATGATGTTCAAAAATAACTGATTTTACATATTATTTATTTTGGTAATGAAAATGAAATCATTTTTTTTTTCGTTTTTTACTGCGATCCTTTATAGGCAATTAAAATATCCTTCTTTCGTTTCAAATCTTAATCGTTAAAATCAACTAGGAGAAAATACAAAAATTTATTTCTATGTATTGAGATGTTTTTGAAATCAAGTTGAAAATAAACAATACGGCACTGGCGCTAAAAATTGAGGTCGGCAGCCGGCAGCTGTTCTATTTTACTTCCATTGCGCTACTTTATTTTATCGATGTTTTATTTTTGTCAACACAAATACCATCGGAAAAAAGAATGCCGTTTTTTCGCCTGGTTGTTTAATTTTGGATGGGTTTGTTTTAATGGCCGCCTATTAATAAGTTACCGCTTACGCCTGCGAAATATCACTGACGTTTTTCGAAGTCGCTCCGGTTTAGTCATATCTATTTTACGGGCGCTGTCTTCAGTGTTTAGTTTGAGACGACGGTAGCGCGGTCAGGCAGAGATGTCCAAACGTTTTCTGTTTAATTTAAAACGAAATTCGGTGTGAAGCAAAAACGGAATTCCTCACTGTCAGAGAAACGATAGTTGTGATTTCTTTATTTTAGTTCAGATTTCCCGCTGCTGTTATAAGTATTTTAAATCTATTTTCAAAATAACCCATCGTTTGAAATCGTAATCACTTCTAGATGAGAAAAAGACGAAAAGTTGATTTTAAGAATTCATTTGTCGTCATAGCAGACTAAAAGGGTCGAAATTGTTTTCTTTTGAAACAGCCCTTTATTTTTATTATTATTATTTGTAAAGAAGATAAAATATGCGATATTTTTTGTTTTCTCTATCGTGCGCTGTTGTTAAGCGATTTGCTTTTTTAGTCAGCGTTATAAAGACTTCTTTAACTAAACATACATCACTATTTGATACCGGAGTTTGCTGATGCATGGATCTCGCGTATATTTTTGAATAGCTTTTGTGATTTTTACTTGTTAAAACAAACTCTCGGACGCTTTTGAGAAATCAAAAATCAGGTGTAATTTTCCTCCACTGTATACGCTATCTAAGGCTGCCCTCTAAATCTGTTAGATCGAATTTATTGACTAGCGCAGTACAGCGAAACATCCCAATCAGCAACTGAACGTGTATTCTTCGAGAAAAGGGATAGGCTGTATTCGAACATCTTATATGCTAGTAATTTTACGAATATGTCGGATTAGTCTCTTTTGCTGACAGCGTTTCCATTTTCCCAAAAAAGGCATTCTTTAGCGAAAAAACAAAGTCGTTGGTTCAACATTTTCAGTAGCTCAAAAATGTGCGCACTTTTGCGTTTTTGTTTTTTTAGCATCCACTCGGGCATTGGATATGTATATTTAATTGCTTTTTAGGCCCCGACTGTTTTGTTATATCTACACGTCACTCTCGTCGCTGTTTTCTTTACTTCCCGGTACGAAACACGAAGAAAAAACGGCTTTAATTCCAAGTGTCTCTTTTCTTTAAACTTACAAATTTCTACAGTTAACCTTTATTTAGCGCGAAAAGATTTTACGTGGTATTAATGTTTTCTATCAATTGCTTATATAAGAGATTAGGTAATATTTTTGTACTTCGTTTTAGTGAAGCTTTGGTTTGCATAATTTTTATTACGTTGATTAGATGTTATTTATGATCACACTATGAAGGTGCTAACAGATTTCTGGTTTGATCGGAATTGCACGTCACAACACATCAAGGAAGAAAAACTGAAATAACTCAGTTTCATTTCTCAAATTGGAAAAAAATCAGCATGTATTGAATTTTACTATAGATTTTATTTAATTATGAATGGTATAAATACCTATTTATTATTAACAAGTGACGTATGTACTAATAATTATATTTGATACTAATTTAGATGTTGATTTATGCATTTACAGAAATAATTTAACAAACGGTTCTCAAATAACGTCATTTGACGTTGTGATGTCTGTATTTTAATGGGATTGGAAAGTGCAGCTCATGAAAAAAGCTGTATCTCCATTTGGAAACTGCAAAATGAACTTGCAGATGGTCAAACCTCCAAACTTCTTTGCAAATTCGTTTGTTAGAGACTTTGGCTTATCTTCAAGATTCACTTAGTGGCTCAAGCTCTTTTTCTGGTGGGGAAATGTTGTTCCCAGCACTCCCATTAACTTTAAACAATGTTCATCGCATGGGATCAGATTTAAAACACAGCGCTGTAATGTATAATAGTTCATCACCTCGAATGTCACCCTCCAAATTTAATCCTGTACCTGGATCAAGTCATGTTTGCAGAGTTTGTTCAAAAAACTTTTCGAGCAAGCAGTTTGTTAGACATTCATATGCGTGTACACGTTGGTGCAAATACCATTTGTATGTCCTATCTGTGGACACCGCGCAAACTCAAAAAGGGAACTTGAAACTACATATGAAAAAAGCATCATGGTGCGGACTTACCACCGCACATTGATTTGGTGCCTTGATAGTGGAATTTGGGGGCCATCCACAAGAAATTGCTTTGAGTGCAAGTCTTGAAGATGAACTTACTGATGCTTCTGGGAAAGAAAAAAACAAGTTGCTCCAAGCTGTGAGCTCATTACTCAATGAGGAAATAGTTGAACTTATTAAAAAATGCCAGAATAATGTCGGACAAGGCATGACGGGCAGAATTTACAGAAAGTTTAGAGGATTTTTATTCGAATAGCTAAAAGCAAGGCAGATGGTGGTGCAGAGCTAATGGACACAATTACTGACACTTCAATGCTCAAACACTATGAAAGCATACCACCTGGTCGTCCTAAAAAGAAACGGAACTCTTCAGATTTAAACCTTACAGTCCTAATAGTTCACAATCAATGATTCACTTGACTGCAAGACTTTGGCCTGAAAAGTGAAATACAAACTGAAAATAAACGAAATGTCTTCTGTGTGGAAAATCTTTCAAGTGTGATGCTCGTCATATAGCTGCAATGAATCGTATTTGTGACACATGTACACAACTTCGGGAATATTCTAGCATAATTACTAGCCAGTTACTTTTGAATAAAAGTTCTCAAAAAGGCACAATTGACTCAGACTCTCCAGCTACTATCAATGGAGTGATAACAGAGATGGCTGCGAAACCCTCAAACAAAAAAGTTTTGAGTTGCAATTTCTGTGGATCTGTTTTTGTAGACAAAACTGAACTCAAGACACACAAACTGACTTTTCATCGGCCTAAAAGCGAGCCATCCTTTGAATCAACAAAAACTGAATTTCTAAATTCTCTTGGTCTCGTATCAAAGTCATCATCAAATTCACATCTTGATGAAAAAAGATGTTCAAGGCATGTTGAAGGGTTGAATCCAATATTAAGTTCTGCTATTTGGAATGACTCAAAAAACAATGATAAAAGTGTTATTATTTCTGAAACGAAACCAACAACGAAGATTATAAGTGGAAAGAATCAAGTTTCTCTTGTCAGAGCAAGTTCTGAAAGCAAGTTACAAATCAGCTCACAAAATCGTGCGAGTCCTGGTGTTTTAAATATGCTTCGACAAACTGTGCTCAATTCAGTCGAACAAAAAATGGTATCTAGTAATTCTAATCTTACGTCTTTAAAACCTACCAGTGAAGTGGATGAAGTAGCCGAGTCTGATGATGTGTTCAAAAAAGATATTGACGCAAACCTAAACCAGGTATTTACAGAATTTTGAATATGATGTTTTATATACCATAATTTTTCATGTGCATTAACAAGTATGTATATCTTATTTCTCTTTTTCAGATATCCAAATCACCCTTTCGCAATCCAGCAATGCAGTCTCTTGCCGAAATTGGAAAATCCTTGCCTGCAGAATTATCCGAACAAGAACCAGAATTATTGAACCATTTTTCTGATGTCATGCCTAGCATTCTTCACGATACAAACAGGCCTAGACTTTCTGGCAGTCTTTCATCTTTATTTTTCGATATCCAGGAGCAAGAAAATGGAGGGTTCAAATGTCAATTCTGTCCGAAATGGTTCAAATATAGAAGCGTATTAGAAATTCACATGCGCTCTCACACTGGCGAACGTCCTTATAAATGCCCTTATTGTGAATATGCAGGCACTCAACAAAACTGTTTGAAGCTTCATATACAACGTCACCATCCAAGAGAATATAATAAACATCATAATGAAATTGTCAGCTCTGTGAAACCACCTGATTTATCATTGTCATCTGCTTCACCTGATGTCTCCTCCAATCGAATGTCTTGCTTTTCTCCTGTTGAATGCCCAATATGTGGAAGAGTGTCACCTTCTCCTGGATATCTAAAAATTCATATGAGATCTCATAAAAAAAGTTTGGATCACGTTTGTCCTGTTTGTGGAAGAGGATTCAAAGAATATTGGTATTTGAGCACTCATTTGAAAACTCATGAACGAGAACTTGGTTCAATGAATTATAATTTACCACAATCACAATCATTGAATACTCACATAGAACAATCCAATTTTCCCTTACAAGCATTTTCAAAAAGTGCTGTTGCCCAGGCCATTGCCAATATCCAGTTACAAAATAAACTTTTGGACACAGCAGCACAATCAAGCAGAGAGTTTGAACTGCTTTCATGTCACAAGCAGATGAAAGAAAATGAAATGAAAAAACACATATTCAGCCATGAGTTTGAGCCTAGCAGAAGACAAATTTTAAGCAACGGTAATGTAAATAATTCTAACCACATTGTGCGAAACTCTCCTGTGCAGAGCGAATGGTTGTCCAGGAATGACTCGGGCGAAAATGAACATTCAATGGACAAAATGAAAATAGGCTCATCGAAACAGAATAAATTTGAAGTGTCTAGTATTGTAAAAACAACATCTCATACGAGTCGCAGAAAAGCGTCTTGTCCATCCAGAATTACATCTGTTCCATATAAAGTAATCAAGTCGACGAACTACCACAACAATCTACAATCTCAAAATGTGACAATATCGAGTGCAGACAGACGAAAGAGTAGACCGAGGAAGAATTATCAGGGAACATATCTGGCACCAACGTTGAATGAAGTGAATTTTGGAACAACAAGTGACGAAGCCAAGGTATAATTTGGGTTTTCCTATTCAATCAATTTGAAAGTTATAGTAAAAATGGTGGAAATATGTATCACAAAAATATTCATAATAACATGGTTTTTCAAATATGGCTAAGAGATTCAAAATTCCTTATGTTTGGCTAATATGTTTAAGTATGCAGAAAAGTTATTAATCTAACATGATGTAAGATTATTCATTTTCAAATGTTTCAATCATTTTCTGGCAGAACACAACAAAGTTTCATTCAGAAGTTGATTCTCCTCAATTCAGTGACAAAATTAATGGTAAGATTTTATCACCATTTTTCACTATTCATTAGTGATAACACAATCAGGGGAAATATCATGTAACACAATGATAGCAATTTGTACACAATATGTAAATTTTTTTTTTTTGTTAATTTTCACAAGTCCAAACAAAAGATTCATAATGATCTACAAGTTATTTTTATGATGATGTGAAGCGTTTATTTTTAGGTATTATTGAATCACTGCTCATAGTTTAAACTATTTTTGTACCATAAAGTCTCGTTTGCCTAATCTGTTTAAATACCAGAGTTTATTAATATGACAATGATTAAGTTATTGGCGGTCAAATTCGGTTGTGAATGTAGAAATTAAAAATGCCATAATGTAAAGAGAATGGCAACAGTTGAATTGGTAGTTTTGGTTAAAAAGGAAGTCATTCATTGATGCTCGCGGATGACATATAGAAAGTGGTGAAATATAAATTTTATGTGATCGTTTCATTTGCATACAATATAACATTCTTTTTTATATTCGTTTTCAATGACATTCAATGAGCCATTTTGGCAAAATTGATAACATTTAGAAACTAAAACGAAGTTGAAATTCTTGGCGAAAGTTTTGTGTGAAATTTAAAACCTATTAGGCTGTTTCTGGAGAGTGTTTCAAAACGATATTAGAATAATAAACCCTTAAAAATATAATAATTGCCTAATAATTGATAGTTATTTCATCTTAAACTTAGTATAATTAAAATATAACATTATGTTATTGGTTTGAATTGATTGAATGTAACGATTAATCAAGACTAGCATGATCAAAAGTAAAAGATTAAAAAACTGATCAAGATAAACTGTAAATTAGAAAACTTATCTACGATAAGGAACTCTTGTGTGAAGTAATTTTTCATTTTCTATCAGATGAATTGCCTTTGGATTTGAGTTGCTCAACAGGAAAATGGAAAAGTGGAAATGACGAAGATCAAAACAACAATGCTCATGATGAACCATTGAACCTCAGCAAATCATAAATTTCAATTAAAAAAGACAAAACATGTTGAAATGTGCTTATTCTGTTGATATTTTGTTTCATTGGCTAAATAGACAATTTTTTTTCCTTCACATGAAACATTTTTCAAAATTTGGTCATAATTTCAAAGACGCCTTCAAGTTCAATACACTTGAGAGAATGTAGCAAGTGTTATCTCTTGTTAATATTTTATAAAGTTTCTAAACACAAATCCTGTTGAAATAAGCTTTTTTTTCAAAGTATCGAGTTTGGATCAATTTTTTTTCTGTGCTCACAAGTTCTTTTTATTATTATTATTGACATATTTTTGTCAAATTTTTTTTGTGAACCTTTTCACTCGTGGTCTTTATTCAATAATTCATAAATCGACTTTCTTGGACTAAAAATAATTAAATTGTGTCCGTATAGCGCTTCAATTATATGCCATTATTGCAAACGAGTAATATTTCATTGGTGTTTTTTTTATATAAAGTCATTATTTTTTCATCCAATTTTTTCGTTGTTATATTTTTTGCCCATAAATTATTAATGGCAATTGCAATACCTACGCATTTACCATGACACAACAATAACTGTGATCGTAAGAAAAAACTAATTTTTTTTGACAATACCGAGAGGGTATGGCACACATGTGTTGCGTAAAAAATGAAAAATTCATGCCGAAACATTTTTGAGTTTAATATTTATGAGAGAACTTTCAGCCTTTGTTTTTAGATTATAAAACCCTGGAATCCATTTCTAACTTTAAATTGCTCTAAATTAGATTACTCTGTTATTGATGTAGGAATAGTTTGGGAAGCATTGTGTCTAGTATCAACAAGTCAAAGGAGTCATGCATCCATTTACAGTTTCTTTAAACTACTTTCAGTCATATTATGGCCACTATTGTCTGTCTATAAGAGGTGTTCCAATAGCGGGATTCTCCAAACACAATTTTAATGATCTAAGCACCACAATCTTCATTTTTAAATACTTATATTTTTGAAATTTTGTGATTTTTCTTCACAATTTTGGTACCATGTCAAAAAAATTTAAAATCTGTTTTATTCAGAAATATTTGAATATTTTTTGCTTTAATTCTAGCATTTAAGCTCATTGTGTATTGATTGATTTCAGAATTTTTGTGCCTATTGCATTAATTGTGATATAATACTTTCTATGAATTCACACTTGGGGGATTGGTTTGTATTTGCAAGCCTGTCTTGTTCCTCCCAAAACCTAATTCTTATATTTCTTCAACCAAATTTTGCATGCTGCTTATGCTGTTTTCATTTGCATCATTCGGCTCGTGGCTTCACTGCCTCAACTACCCACTGTTGTTTTTAGTAACTTGCAAGAAACAACACTGTCGCTGGTACCATGTTTTTCAGCTCCCGATCATAACAGTGGAATTTAATTCATAATTCAGCTCATGAGGTAACAATAACACATATGAATGCATGGACCTTTAATTGTCTTGCCAACAAAAAATCACTTCTTAACAAGGAAACTATATGATAGTTTTCGAAGTGTCTAATCATATATCTGCGTATGACATATGAATACATTTTTAAACTCAATATTATACTGACAAAAAAAAACATTGTTGAGATGGAAGGGAGTTATCTTTTAATAATGCTTTCTCTACTAAACCTTATCTCAAGTAAAACGAATATTAACCACCATTATTCTCACAGTTGCCAGATAGTTTTCTGTTATAATACAAGTTGTTCACTTTTTCCAACCAGTAAAAATTCAACTGTATACAATCATGAAAAAATATAATGATGCAGTTCTACTGGGAAACGGGAGCCAATGCTTGTACTTATACTTGTAACTAGAACAATGTTGTTGTTTTTTAATATTAGTTGCCATGTCATTACATTCATTTAAACATTTTCCATTATTGAAGTAGGCTTTTCCCAACCCCCTGATCAATGCTAATGCTAAATTATTTTGTAAAATGACTACATTTGGAAATATATAGATTTTTCAATTAGATCAATTGCGCTGAAAGGGCCAGTCATGATATATGAGGTTTGTTCAACGTTTAAAGTATACAATGGTAACTACTATCCATGATTATATCACTAGCCTCTAGATAAAATGGAAACATGTTAGTATTGTGGTGTCCATATCATGTGAATTTATATATTAAGAACATTTTATTTACTTCAAATTATTCTTACTGTTACCTATAATCATGTCATTACATTGTGGCCCTTTTTTCGAATCATGCTTTTATTGAATTCTTCAGCAATATTTATTATATATTGTATCATATATAATTCTCTTGCTTTTATTTTGCCATCTAGTCAGAAAGCTCACACATTGATCACTCACAAGGGATTCAATAAAATCCTTCACTGTTGCCGTTTTGGCCGTGCCTATTTCACTTGAGTAATTGATCCAAAGTTTCAGGATCACTACTAGCAGCCCGTCACTATGTATGCCAAAACTTTTTGTTGAAAACATACACAACATGTAAAAGCTTATTATTTGTATGCAGTTTTTAAATTTTAGATCAAAAACAAATCTGCGATCAAATAGAAAAAAAATTTTTTTCTAATATTATTGTTTTGAAGTGTTAGAAAAGTTTTTGCATTTTATTTCAATTGCCGTAATTTTATGCGATAGACACGAACAAACAAAATTCATTCAATGTAGTTGCCATTTATGCATTTTCTCACGCTTTCCTCACGCTCAAAGAATAATGAATTCTAGTTTACTTTTGTGTTACATAGTTCTGTGCAGAATCTGGTTCAGATACTGGATTAGTTTTTCTTGTTTCTTGTATAACCTGAACATCACCAAGCTAATATCTTGCTTAATTGTATAAACACTGTTTATTTATTGAACGTACTTTAATTAATTAACCTATATTCTGTCCCTCTGATACCTGATGGCAGATTCATAAGACATTCGCCTAAACTACTTGCTGTTTTGGAATGAATTGTATTTAGTTTAGTTTTGCCATTCGTTAATCACACTGTTTAGGCATATTTATTGTATCAGTAATGCCCGACAATGAACTCATTTTAATTTGGCATAGAATAGACGAACTTTTGTTAAGTTTAATAAGCTTATCATGCAGATAAAATCTGCAATTATGCACCCGCCTTTAAACTAGCATGCTGAATCGTTATAATCATCAGTATACTGTTGTAATTTTTCTTTCTAGTCTCTGAATTGAACTTCAATAAATCTTGCTTTATTCATATCATTTGATGTTAGATTCTCCAAAAATTTGGAGTGGCGCGATGTAGCGTTGGTGAAATGATGAATGGGTACAAGCCTGGTTCAGATAGATCCTATCTAGGCTACGACGCCGGTATGAGTATGATTGAGCGCGATAGATTTTCTTTTAGTCGTCTAGAATGTTTCAAAATAGTTCAATATTTTGGAACCCCCCCTTGAACAGCTTTTTTAAGAAAGATATTTTCGAAGATTGGTGCTTGTTTTGCCACCAACGGTCGGCTGGATTGGTTGTGCGACATGCGTCACGGAAGAAAAGCTACGGTATACAAAAAATTGGGTTTGTGTTTGTGACGTAATAATGACTTCTATATTTTAGATTTGTCGAATTTCAATTCCAAGTTTAAAATAGCTCTGTATTTCATTACGTTTCGTTTGAATTTGCCCCTGGTCCGCTCAGGTGTGTTTGTGTTAAAGCATCATGCCTCGTTATTGTCGAGTAAAAGCAGAAGAATTTTCAAGTAATCCTGGAATTTCTGGTTCATATCAAAGCGTTTGCGAATCTGTTATTCCTCTTCTTGGTATAGATCCTGGATCCGATGACGATGAAGAATCTTGGTTCACGTTCGCTTTCAACATTGCTCTCACTGTGCTGGATCCAAAGTCTTGCTGGTTTCAGATATTCATTCTTTTCATGGTGGCCGGAGTGGCGTTTATGCTGGGTGTTTATTTGAGGTGAGTACTGGTTGAGATATTTAGCAAAGCAGGATAGAGGGAAGATGTGAGTCACGGACGTGTGTAAATACATTCTGGGTCATTTTTAATATATATAATAATACTCTGCTCAACCCAGAAAATTGGAGTCGCTGACTCAACGACTTTGATACGTATTCGCGATCCCTCGTCCATTGCAGTTTAAATATTGTACCTTTTTTTCGGTAGATTTATCTAATTTTTATTTTAAATTTACAATGTTTATCGACGATGAAAATAAATATCTGAATCTGAAATCAACACAATTTAATATATATAGGAATATGACACTTGGGTCTAATTTTAGATACTACGCTTGGCTACACTACTATATATTGGTATATATTATGTAAAATTTGTATTTTACACAATATAAAAATAATCTTTTTCTTCGATCTGTTGTTTTTTGCCAGGCGACGCACTATTCTGGGTTTATTACGACAGAAGGAAGAATGGATCGACAAAGAGAAAATGTTATTGAATCAACTTTGGGCTGCACTTGAAGAAAAGTTGGAAGCCAAAGCCATGATGCAGGAATCGCGAACTTCGCTTGATAAAGTTAAAGGTACGCAATTCAACTAATATATTCTACGACATTTTTCTTTCCACAGCTTAACTGATGAATAGTACACCAGTCCAAGTCCATGATATTATATCATAACCCCGACAAAATCGCTACGAATGTCATTTTTTTTTATCTGAAATTAAGATTTTGTTTCCACTTGTATTTCATAAGTAAGAGGTAACCATATCAATATAACCATCTGATCAAATCAATGGACAAAATAACTCAGATTTGTTTGTGATGTTGGCCATAACTGACAAGAGCATTTGGCTAATATTGTGTATATTAGGACCAGCATTGCTTGCTGGGGTTAGTCTTCGTTTTCAGGTCGGTAGATGCTAGGTATTTTTATAAGAACATTCGGTTTGTGGAATTAAATTCTGGAAGTGTAGTTGCTACTTCATGATCGGCACATTCGGATATAAGCATTCGGGTGGTCATTGTGTGTGCTGTGATTAAGTTGTTTTTATCATACCTTTCCATCTTCGGAATATGTATTTTTTGACTATGGTGGTGACTGGGGGTGTTTCAAGCGTTTCGCTTCCGTGTGTATATATATAATAAGCATGTTTTCTGCGGCGATAACACGTATCTTGCATTGTACATTTATTTGAGCAATTTGTTTATTTTCAAGTGTTGGGTGGTGATGTAGTCTCTCGTTGTGTAGCTGTATCAAAATACTGACATTTTGTTTTGGCCATCTTTTGGAAGGTGAAGCCAATTTAAAATACCACTAGGTGGCGAAGCAATACAGACACCATGGCAACAACGAGCGCTGTGTTTCGCGAACTTGTTCCCTACTTTTCGATCTTTACTTAATTAATCGATGTCAGTGTGCAATACATTTACAGAAACCCTTTATCTACCGCTATACGAATAGGATTTAGACTATAAAATATAGGTATCAAGTCTGCAGTTCACATGTTTCAAGGTTCAATAACACCTATTCAGGGTTTGTAACGGCGTTCCACGGCCTCTCGTCCGGTTACCAGTCTATATTGGGTATGGGATTAGTTAGCCAGTTATTTATTTATGAACATTACTGCACTGGTGTATGCAATGTTTCTCAGTTTTCAGGATTACATAAGTTACATTTAGAAGCCATATTTTTGACATAACTCATCTTGCTGCCTTGTGCTGTGTTACTCGTAGTACAGTTTGAGATTGCATGTTAACTGTTCTGAAGAATTTTATTTTGGTAAATTCCATAGAAATGTTTGATCTCACAATTTGCTTGTGGCTTCCTCCATATCATGCAGTCATGTGTCTGTGTTTATACATTAGGGCTGGGAATTTCAGGAAAAACTAGGCTAGGCTATAAAAAATGTTAATAGGAGGCAATTGCGTACAATTTTCAGATATAACTAAGTCTGATTATTGTCAGTAGAATAGTATAATTAATATCTTCAATTTATAACTTTTATATTAATAATATCATAGAAAACATTATAAGCTAAATCATATTCGGTCGTAAAAAGTATATTTCAAAAGAAGAATGTGAAACAAAGATATTCTCACTAGAAATAAATACAAAAAAAAACAGTATAATGGAAGCATTGCTCAGCCCCATTTCGATAGCTGACGACTGGAACAAAAACTTAACCTTGGATGATTTAATCAGTCCTAAGAAAAAGTTGCCTGTACCAAATCATTTACTTGATACAAAGATCTTCAGCAAACTGAAGCAAAATGCTCTTGTCAAAGTCGATCCGAGCGTTGTTCATTTCGAAGGATATGATTTACATAAGACTCAACGTCGCTCGATAAAAATATGCAACTCTTCATCAGAGAGGCAAAATTTACATATTATTAGCCCCTCGACAAAATATTTTACTGTAAAATACACCAAACCAAGGCGATTTGTACCTGGATTTACAATCGATGTTGTGATACAATTTACTCCTGATGAATGGAGATATTACTATGATTGTATCAGACTACATTGTGAAGGAGAGGAGAATATTGTTATTCCTTTACATGCTTACCCGGTTATGGACTTGTCTGGTTTTCCCAAAAAGTTAATTTTTGATACAGCAAATTCAAAGCTAGGTGAAACGAGAAGAAAACTTTTGCCATTGCGATCACCATGCCCGGTAGATTTTGAATATCAAATAACAGTGTTACAAGCTCACCCGACTCTTTCTGTACATCCAATGTCAGGAACTGTACCAGGTGAGGGAAATGCTTCAATTTCAGTGCTGTATACGCCCACCGAGTATGTAACATCGCACATGACAATTCAATTAAATATATCGCAGTTCAATTCGAAACCTGTCACATGCTTTGTGACTGCAAGTTGTACGCCAAAGACGAATAAACCAAGAAAATCAATAAAAGATTTGGATGAAGTTTATAGGAAAACAAAAATTTTCGATCCCCATTCTTTATCACTGGTACAGCTTTCAAGAAGAAGAAAAACTGCTAAATATTCTCATATTCCACAACCTACTGAAATAGAGTATGAAGGATTGCATTTTCCTGTCAAACTCAATACTCAACATGCAGTAAACAGTGTCTTGATGCAAAAGGCTGGGAAACTGAGGGCAAAAGATGTTCGTGAAGTTGCTACATCAAAGCTTGCATTAAAAAGCACTTCAGAATCCAGTCTTGGCCTTGCACAATCCTCATCGCGGCAGATGAAAGAAGCGACTTTTAAGCAAGATTTACGAAAAGATGAGATAGAAGAAAGAGCCAATCACCTAAGATGGCAAGTTCATCTTGGTCACAAAGCATTAGATGAGGAAACCAGACTGGAAATTTTACGAGAAAGAGAAAATGCACAAAGTGATTACAAGTACAAAAGAAGATGTGAGCCTGATGAAGACAATGAAGTATTGCGAACGTCGACTTTCAAAGCTTTCAGACGAACATTTAGACAAGCAGTAACAATCCCCGAAAGCAATCCTAGTTTTGATTTATATAAAAATAATCCTTGGCTCAACAGACATAGAGCACTAGAAAGGTTTCAACAAGCTGCTCGTACTATTTTAATAAGAAAACGAGCGGACAAAAAAGTAAAAATGTTAAGACAGATGATTGAAAATTTTAAAAGTGGGAACATTGATGCACAGAAATCTGTGGAAAATGCAGAAGGTTTCCAGCTTGATGTCAGAAATCCCTCTACACCTGGAACACCTGCTCATAATTCAACCCCAGAGCCTGTGTTTATACTTACTGCAAACAAAGTCAAACCTTTTACATTTCCGCTATATGTTCCAGAAGATACAAAGGACGACATTGCGACGGATACACTTGGGGAAACAGAAACGAGTGGAACGCCAATCGAAGTAATAAAAGGAACTCCATTCCACAACTTGAAAGTCCCAAAGCAGTATGACCTATGTGGATATAAATTTTCTGATGTTAACGATGCATCAAGAAGCTACGTCTCACCTGTCTTAGCTCGTCCTTTACGAAGTGGTGCAGAAGATGAAGTAATTGAATTGTCTGTTCCACCACACTTGCTTAAAAGTGACAAAACAAAAACTGACGATGATGGAATTTCATCTTCATCCATTAGTGATGTATCTTCTTCACAAAATTTGGAAAATGAATCACTAACACAAAAAGATATTAAAATGAAGGACAGACCTACTTCATCATCATCTGGACTGACTATGCCATCTGGATTATTGAGCAACCCTCCATACCACCCATTACACATATTCAATCCATTTCCTGGTATGCAGAGAACCTATTTACCATTTTCACACAGCGAAGTCGATCCTGAATACCACTTATGCCCCATGCCAAAATATACAATGTTACCAGGAGCACAGTCTTATCTTGACAAAGATGACACAATCAAAGGTATCATGGCTTGGAAATCTCTACCACCTCAAGCTCTTGTCTCTCTTTCACAAAGCGGCACTCAACATGACGTTAGTCTGCCTCGATGGTCTGATCCATTTAGTGAAGCAATGGTCCCGGTAGTAACTCCTACTTTATTACCTTCTTCCTTACAGCCACAAGACTTAGACGCTGGGGAAGATATTGCCTTCGATTCCTCTGACCCCATAGAACTCACCCCTGACATGATTAGAGCAGAATTTACAGTAGATGAAAATGCAGTTAATGCTTCTGCTGCTGAAGAAGACGATTTTGAACAGAAAAATACTGAACTAACTTCACCAAAATCAAATTATGACCAGCTGGGATTGAAAATTCGAAACACATTGAAAAAATTGGAAAATATGGACAAAAAAATGCCCAAGATTACGTACTGCTAACACTTTTCGGCATTAGTGTTTTTTATTACTTTTGAAAATTTTTGTAACATTTACTTGCATTTTCTTCTGTGTTACATTTAAATCGATCAAATTCGAGCAGTTATACAAGCATTACAAATAAAGATGCTTGAATGATTGAAACTTCCAGAATATATATTTTATTTATAATGTTTGATATATATTACTTTTTAATGGAAAATAACTCTCCTCAATACTTCTGCTTTAGTTTAGTGGTGTGCTTTATAAGTTGGTCTTTTACGAATATTTATATATACTTTTTGCTATTCATCAACTCCAATTTTATTTAAAGACAAGCGTTCAGAGGTTTGGGAGCTAAGCTTGCATCAACTGACTTGGTAATTAGGATAGAATAGGATTTACATATTTATTCCTGGGGGAGATAGATAGGATAGAATTTGATTTACATATTTATCCCGCGGGAGAGGAAAGCCGACAAGACGGCTTATCCATATGGCGAACTACGGCCTATCGTCCGGTTACCATTCCGAGTCGGGTATGGGATTAGTTATATTGTTTGTTTTCGGAAGCATGGACTTGGTAAGATAAGATAAGAAAGTGATGAAACGGCATATTCATATGGCGAGCCACGGCCTCTGGCCCAGTTACCTGTCCATGTCGGGTACGGGATTGCTAAAATCTTCGCAACCGTTTGTTTTAAATCTGTATTTCCACATATACAAACATTAAACGCAGTGGGCTTGTCTTGTGGTTTCCTCCACCAACCGCGTTTCGTATTTACCTCTATACCTAAACCAGACACAAGATTGTAATATGATTAAGCTTTGTTATCGACTTTTCCGAGATGATCTTATGAAATACCGCTCGATTATCTTCTAAGGTTGTTATCTTTATGTTCCCCTTTTTCAATTTTTTGCGTTAAATGCGTGTCTGCTACCGGGTAATTCTCAACTTGTTATGAATTGGGACCATCCGCAAGTTTCAAACATCAGGCGATTCATTTAATTTTCAATAAATAGATGTAGCAGATGGGCAATAAATTTACTGGAGAGAAAATCATGTAGGGGTCGTTAATATATATTTGGTAGTATTTATTTTGAAGATTAGGAAATAATTTTTAAACATATTGTCAGGATTTCAATGGACGTCCTGTTTTTCCAAATTGTTCATGTCAAATTCGCCGAGTAAAGGAAATCGTGCATACCAGTCACGACAACGGCGTTCATCCTGGTCAGTTCTGTGAAAGCCATTCCGGTACTCCCGAGACCCGTAGTATGTGTTCCATGTTAGGGTTCGGTCATAATTTCAGGTACAAATACTACGGGAGTCACTTGGCTAGTCCGAACTCGTAATAAAACTAAAATGAGGAATATTGGTATAAAACTATGGCAATTCCTAACCTGGCACACATACTATGTTCTTGCTCTATATATTTTTGCGCATACTACAAAAGCGCCGCCATTCCAAATCCGGTGAACAGGGATGTGTAGTTGGAAGATTAGTCATAGGACTTACTAGATAAAAATAGATTTGACACCGATTTTGTTTAAAAATAACGACAACTAAATGTTGACGAGGATTCTGGCATGGCATATGAGAACCATTTTACTATAGAAAATTTTAAGTTGTCGCAATGCATGTTTTATTGCAGTTTAAATTTGGCCTATGAGCTGTGACGTATATTGAACGGTCAGATGTTGGCCTCATTATGAATAATGTTATTGTGGTGGATTTAGATAGCAAACACACATTCTAAAATATACGTAACACAGCATGTTTCTATTAACACCCAAAACATTTTTCCATTTCAGTTGAATTAGATTCGGAAAAGGCCGAGAAGGAATCGCTTCAAGCTAGGCTGTGGGGCATGGAGAGAAATGTAAAAATTATTCAGTCAGAGAGGGATGTCTTAGAAGAGAAACTACGAGATTGTATCAGCACTTTTGCAGATCTGAGAAAAAACATTGGAAAGGTAGGGAAGGATATAGTGGTTTTCTCTGATGTATGAGGCGTTGGGCCTTGACAACAGTATTTGCGTTATATCGCAATAGGCCGTTAGATTGTTATTAATGCTTTATGAGTTTATGTCACTTATCGTCGAAGTAAAACAATGCACGCCTACGGTTCTATTATTCAACTTGAAATAATATTTATCTATATTTCAGAATGCGGGTAGTGGTGAGAGTGTTGGAATAGCAAACTGCATGGATAAAATAAAGAGTCTACAAGTTTTACTACAGAAATTGATCGAAGCACATCGACAGGAACACCTAAATTTTATATCTATGCTTGAAAAACAACCTTCCGTTTAAATAAATTAGTAACTAATAAGAGGACAAATAAAAGTTGACGCACTTTGAATATGTGTTTCATTTATATTACAAGGATGAAATCTGTGATGCAAAGAACACTTAATAACATTATCAAAACTTTATTAAATTAAATATATATACAAGCCGTTGATTAGTGACAGATACACCGTAAAGTGAGCGCATAAACATTTGACCAAGAAGACTTGAAAACATCAATCGTAAACATTGAGCAATCATATATCCTTTCTTTATTGTTCTTTAACCTGGCAAGTTTCTGGCTTGAATGGCTCGCATTTTGGTTGATATCCAATAGGCGTAGGATCTACAAAAAAAAAAATTAGATTTCAGAAATTAGAACGTGATACAGGACTTTACATACATAATCTCTGCAACTTTTTTAATTATTTGAACATTCTAATATTATGGATTTGAGGTTGTACAGTTTTGTTTTGATGTTCGTTTAGTGTTTTGTATATATGACGTATACAAAACGACGTATATATGGTGCTATACCTGGTTTGATACACTTCCAGTCAGGACTGCTAAATTCTCCATATCGTCGACCAGTTATACGTAAAAGACGAGATACTAACATCGAATCCGATTCATTTGGTTGCGGTTTGAAACCGAGGGTGTGCATGACTTCACTAAATAAAATAACACTAGTTAAATTTGTTTGTTAAAACATTTGGATACATGATTGAGCATTTAATAAAAGCCAATATTACCTGCACTTCCACGAAGTTGGACTTTCTCCGGATTCCTGTGTGGCTTGCAATCCCAGGAGACCGAAAGTAGACGATGAAGGATTTCCTATGTATGTGTGGTTTTTCTCGTCGGTGTAAATATTTGACTTTATATATTCACGCATTTTCTTGATAGCATGAGTTATTCTTTCCACCCGATATTTTGGATTTACTTCTTGTGAAAGTCTGTGCATCGGTGTGAGCAACATAGATGTGGTCACTGTAGAAAATAAAATTAAATGGTTCAATGGGTTGATCCGAGAATGACTAAATAAAATAAAAATTGTGTTTTACTACCCCATTATTTTTATTCCGTAAATATTAATACTATGATTGTTTTCCCGAGCATCGACTTCCTTGTCTTGTTTACTTCGTGACATTGGCCAATCAGCAAGATGCAAGAAGTGACCCAATTTTGCATCCGCTCAGACACTTTTCTCGTCAGACAGATTTTCAGGCGTGGTCGTAAACAATAACTCGTTTTCGCGTTTTTGAATTCTATTCGTTAGTTTTCAATTGTGTTCCAGATATTTAAATAAAATATCAAATAATTCAATGATTACTTCACTATTTTCTTAGGAGTTTCAGTTTAATTGCAGTAATCAAAAGTACAGAAATTAGTACAGAAATAGCTGTGATACCTAGGCTAAAATTCTTTACCGGTACTGTGATACCTAGGCTAAAATTCTTTACCGGTACTTTTAAAAAACAGATTGTTGAATGTTATGAATCAGAGTGATGGCTTGAAACAAATACCCCATTTTACAGGCGCCAACTCGCGAAATCACTCTTAAAATAAGCACCGAAAAGTATAGAAAGATTTTTCCGGGGGTCAAAGGTCGGGGAAAGGTCCAAAGCTGAAAGCTATTCGTTCAATTTTAATATTATCATTACTTAAGTCATAAACTATATCAAAATGAACAGTCCTGGATATGGAAACCGCACAACACAGTAGCAAACTCTGAAACTGGCAACGCCGTTTTCTTTGTGTTGTACAGTATTATACGTTGCGCTTTGTTTGTAACCTGTGAAGTTTTTCATGTGAACTCGTTCAATAGTAAATATGTTGATTTTGAATTGTTATGACCGCTTACAGTAATGATCTCACCTATTTTCAAACGTGTGCCGAAGCTTCCATCCTTATTCTGATTTGCAAGTAATTTATTGATAAGATATCTTGGAACAACAGCATTGGACGAGAAAAGTGCTGAAAGGCCTATTGCATATGTTCGTAGTCCGTCCACCGGTGCGAGTTCTGTTAATGTTGTAAAAGTGAGGTTATTTAGTGAAACGTTTCAAATAATTTCTCGGTAATTATAGCACTGAGTTGTCAATGGTATTACGCAACTAATTTGTCATGTTGAAAACACATTGTGGTTAATATTCAACCAAATTCAAGAATCTAATATTCCAAGCTGTTGGCAACCAAACAGTTTTTAGTTTCAGTCCAGCAGTATGCAACAACAGCAGTCCCTCTGTGAAGCGGACATTACCTGGATATTGAGGTACATAATTATTTATACTAATATTTTCAACATAATTTACTTACTTTTATATCGAAATTGGCCTTCCAAGTTTTCTTCCAGCATTTGTACAAGGTTAACACCAGAAAAGTTTCTTGGGTTTTGACACAGTCCTTTCGCAGCATATGTGTGAAGCGCCAAACTCCACAAGGACATTCTAAAAAATGATGAATGTGGCTTATACATTGGCATCGTTTGTGCAACACCAGGGATATAGATATTCATCGATTACTCACTTGTTGGCGTCATTTTTTACTTTTTGTTTTATGGCATCAATAGTCTTTTCTCTTTCATAAAATTTTTCTGGTGCTACAAGTTGTAGTGTCATTGGAACCTGGAGGATATTCCAATTCCAATCTGTTTTTCGCAGAGCCATAAGGCGGCTAACTATTTCAGTGACTGCTTCATCAGTTTCGTTTTTATATGTTTCATCATCCCCTTGAAAAATGATTGCAGAATATGATAAAATTTGCAGCAAATGTTGTCTAATTTTAAAAAGATATTGAATTAATCAAGGTATACAGTGATGGGATTCAAATTTTTTGTCAGCCGGTTCCATCACAAAAGTCATATTTTTCAGCCGGTTCTGTTACAAACGGAACATTCACAGTAACCAGTAATGCTAACCGGTTCGCTGATCTCATAAAATCCCGCAAGACAGTTCTATAGAACCGGCTGAATCCCACCACTGTATAGTGTATATATAAGCTGATAAATACCAGGTTTGCGGAAAATTTTTAGCGACAAAATAAATCGTGTGATTAAAACAATTAGGCTTCTAATATTTTTGGTAAATAATTCATTTTGCTATAAACACAATATACTGTATCAAAAATAATGAAACAGTTTATATAAAAACTTACCACATACTTTATAACCAGTAACTTGTTGAGATGCAATAATCGCTAACAGACCTACAGTTAACAATATTTTCATTTTTTACTTCGAAATATAATCAAATATTCTAATAGAAAGATGTACATGATTAGACATAAGAATAGTAGTAATACGTGGAATTTGTTCCGGTTCTTGTAAGATAGCACCTATCGACGTCAAAGAGTTTGACTGATCATCAATCTTCCACAACACATGCATGGTTTTGCGTATGTTGTTTTATTTTCAATTTTGGTTTAAGGTTTAAACGAACTAGTCTCATGATGAGATTATCTATAGCTCAATTGGCCTTTTATATAGGAATTGGCGCATATCGCTTTTCTCTTCTTGGGTGTTGCCGTTAAAACAAAACGTTTTCGAAAGATCTCGTTATCTATAAAAAATAAATATGAAAACAAGTATTTCTTTCGCATAAATTGTGTTATGAAAATTTGTTACGGTGTGCATGAACTATAACAAGTATGTTATTATATTCCAGTCCCACAAAACACTTTTAGAAACTGACAGTCAGCAAAGGTGTTTACTGAGGTCGAGGTTAGGCTGTGGTGACATTTCTCATTGCCGAATTCGCTACACAGACTGCTGTTATTTTCTGTTTCTGCCAAACATCGGTTGTATATAATCTCCTTTATCAGCATATAATCCGACTTATATTGCCCAGAAGTGTCTTGCCGCGACCGACCGACAATGAAATAAATAAATTGAATTATTTAATATTTTAAAGGTAATGAGGCAATTTTTATTTTGCTACAACAGCATCATTGAAATGAGCAATAAAAATTGTTTTTGACGAAGAATCCAATGAAAAATGCATAGAAAAATATGCAATGATGGATAATATTTTTAATTACTTCACTTCAAAATGCGACATAAATTAGAACTCCTTTTTAAATATTCATCGTTCAGGTATCTTATTTTATTGTTATTATTATTACTTATATCCTTGAATGGCGATGCTAGATTTTAACAATCACAATGACTTGCCAAATGCCGCATGCTTGGTATCGTTATTAAAAACCTCAGGCGGCACGGCCCGTATGGCCGTTTTGTTTGTATGAGATTTATATCAGCCTGGCGCCGTTACAGAAATTTAATTTTTTGTTTATGAATCGTTCCAAATTTATCCTCTTCTTTGACCTTAACTGGCATAGACAAAATAAAAATATTATCAGCCCCTCCCATGAACGTATCATTCACGTCAGGATTTTTCAGTTAAAAATAACTGCATTAAATATTTCATGTTAGATTAAATTCATATATATCCTTCATAAAGTGCGGTATATAATATCGCTGACTCCGCTAATTCTGTGTCGAAAAAGATATCATCAGGTCACGTTTTCCGTAACCTCTAGTCTGAAGCTTCAATAAACCAAATTCAACATTCCCACGATACATATCTTATCTATTGACAGTTTTCCGTAATAAAAACAAATGCTTTTTAATAAATAAGTAGTTTACATGGAAATTAGTCATTACGAAGGTAAGAATGTATTTGCTTGATTCAATGACATCACAAAACGAAGAGACAGATGTGTTAAAGCAGCGTTTCCCAACCTTTTTTGTCGCGGACTAACAAACCACTAGTTTGTCGAAATCAGGGTCTATATTCGATAATGCACATCTAATGTCATCATAAACAGCAACGCAATTATAACACTCAATTTTTATGTTTTTGTCTGTAAGCGAAGGGTACGCCTCATGTTTTGTCAGAAATCCGCAGGTACGCTGTGCAATTCAATCGTTCGATATAGCGAGGAGCGAATGACATGTCGTGTCCAAGTCAAGTGTTACCAGGTATTCTAATGGTTTAATGTTCGAATATTTTTCCAGCCACACTCCGTAACCGGTAATTATTGACTCGATTAAATTTTATGTAAATAAACCTTTTTTTTTTATGTTTTTTGTAAATTCTAACGTAAATCGTAACTGATACGTGCGTTACCTGACACGTGGTGAAACCGTTTATGCCCTGCGATAAATTTCTAAACGCGAAAGTGGCCCGCGACACTAAAAAGGTTAGTGACCTACACGAACTATATATTACTGCATAATGTTCCTAACGGTATTACTCGTTTACGACTGGTTCAAAATGAACCGCTTCGCGGACTCGGGTTGGGGAACACTGTTGAAGTGTAAGTTGCCGGAAGTATGGTTTATTAAAAATCAATTTGATTGGATTACTTGGGAACGTAAACGAACGTCTTCGATAGCGTTTTAGAGCAGGTTTTTTTAGTAAAGACGAAGTACTACGAAAAATAAAACAATATGAAACATGGAGCGATTCTTGAAATGGTTCCGAACCGTTTGGCCCTAAAGGCCTTCCGGTAGATCTTGAATTTGGTATCCTAGAACTCGTCAAACAACTTGAGACAATTTTCCTTTTCAAGGGATCGAAGCAGGGGTATGAAGACATCATTCAGTAACACAGGTATATTTACTTTCCCGATTGTTCATCTCAGGCAAAATGGTAGGCCTATTCGAAGTAAAAACAAACGGACAAAAAATTTGAGGAACACTGGCATACGAGGAAGGGGCCTCGATAAGAAATAATAATTGAACGTGTATAAAAGAAACAAGAGGATAATGCTCAAATATATTGACACGAAGACTAAAATGAAGTAACATCAAAATGCAATTACGGAACCACGGCATTTTTTTTATGACGTCATCACACGAACTCTACAGAGTCCAAAAATGTTTTGAAATAAATAAAAGTAATAGCCTTCTAGCGACAACAGCAAGTTTTAACCGCTAAAAATGTCAAAGCAATTTGTCCAGTATTTAAAGAGAAAAGCGATTTCTTCACAACAACAAAACGATCCATTGGTACGTTCCGTATCCAGAAATGATTATTAGAGAATAAGAAACGGCCCCGACTTTAAGAAAGCAATATTTCTCTCGAGCAGGTTGCTCACTAAATTTGTGCCTGCTCACTCTGTATTGTTACGTCAAAATTGTGTCTATCGTTTCAAGTTGGTTTTCCCACGGTTCGAAGTTCGTGCGATAAAGAGCTTCTGTCCTTTGTTGGCAAGTTATTAGCTTGAATTTGCCCCACTTTTGGTGCAAATTGACACAAGTGCCAAACAACACAAGTATAATTTGATTGGGAAGTTAAGTAATCGCGACATAAGTCCAATATATTATACATCTGATAATACATTTATTTTTCCGATTGGGCCTTAACTCACTAGCGCCATATTGAGTGCGCTGTTCAATCGTAGTTTGAAAAATATATGTCTGGCATCTTCACTTTTGAGTATTTCAACTTTTTCTTTTCAAGTTAGATCTTTTTGCGCAAAATTTGGGAATCCAAGGTTCACGATTTATCAATACTTACTACATGCTCTTCATACATGGTATCACATATATTCACATAGTGGCTTTGACATTCCTAAGACGTAGGGGAAAGTGGGGAAGGTTGGGACACTTTTTTTCTTTTGCATATTTTGAGCCGTTAATTCTGCATATTCACTTAAGTTGGCGGGACTAATGCATAGAGGGGTAAATGTAGTTTTTATTCAGCGACTAAGAAATTCCTTTGCGACACACATCTTACTACCAAAATGCTTTGAAAAACGTCTGTCAAGTGTCCCACTGTAACCCACTTGTGCGGCACATTCGGACAGACCCTGGGGCACAATGGGTCAGTCTGTCAAAATTCAACGAAGTATGCCCTTAAAAATAAGCAATTAATCAGAATAATCGTCTAAAGAACAGGGAGACTTTAAATTTGAAGCTTTAATATTTTCAAAATCAATGTTCAACTGAAATAGTTCAGATATTTTGACAAAAAAAATCGCAAACAAATTTGATTATTTCTTTCCTCGAATCTAAATCTGGAAATATTATTGAATCTCGAATATATTCCATATTGGGCCATGGGTCGGAAGAAACCATAATATTACACAAAATATAACGCATCTCTAGGTCTCTAAGCACTTATTGTATCAAACACTGTCGAATTGTGCCCTGTAGGGCATGTCCCACTGAACCCCGGTCCATTGTTCCCCATAGGAAACAAATATTTTCAGACCATCCCACGGAGAAATTCGGAAGGCACATCATCTCGCCAACGTTATGAATATTCTACAGTTGACTAAAGCTGAAAAATATCAGACGGTGGTTTGTCATGTTGGGAAGTCTAAAGTAGAAAAAAGAAAAAACTGGAGCGGTGAAATTTTAGTTTCAACCCCCCAAAACCAATTTCACCTCATAGCTTGCGCCGCTCTACACGTCCGTTGTCCGTTCGCGGGGATGTTGTAACTCACCGGAGGGCGGATTGAAACATCGAACAGCGGACAGGATTGCGGATATAGTATCAGTGTGAGAGCTGATTTCCACTGTGCTCCATGTCCCAACGTGCCCCACCTTCCCCTACACATATATACATGTGTATGATTGCAACCCAATTACTGCCCAAGTATACAGCAGTTTACTGCCCCTTATTTGTGCATATTTTAAATACCTAGGTAGAAATTATGCTTTTCTGTAGTTAATGAACTGGGCTAACTGGGTAATTCGGATAGTAAAACCTAAATGAATGCCAAATTAATCCAATGTTTTATATATATTTTATGTCTTATCATTCTGCAAACATTTCTAATCATTTTCTAATATTCCACCTATGCACAACATTAGGTCTGGTGCTATGCCATCCTGGTAGCCCAAAACTGCTCGGCTAGTTGGCTCTTTAAATTCATATGATGGTCCTTGATATAATTACATTTTCAATTACCGTTGAGCGGTTGTTATGGATCATTTAATTAACTGCGAGTGTGATTAATATTTATCGATATGCAATAAATTGATAGATTTGGCAATTTTTGATACTCCTACCACCAAAGTTCACGCTTGGGGTAGACTAAATTAATCCAATGTTTTATATATATTTTATGTCTTATCATTCTGCAAACATTTCTAATCATTTTCTGATACTCCACCTATGCACAACATTAGGTCTGGTGCTATGCCATCTTGGTAGTCCAAAACTGCTCGGCTAGGTGTCTCTTTAAATTCATATGATGCTCCTTGATATAATATAATTACATTTTCTTTCACTTACCGTTGAGCGGTTGTTATGGATCATTTAATTAA